CAGGCCTCTAGTCTTATATAATAAAAGCCTAATATACTAAGTGTCTGGTCATCTGTTCAACCAATCAAAGCATAATATGCTAATGATATAAGGCCGCTCAATTGCTCGCTATGAAATGCACTGACCAACAGGGGGCAGACAGTCGACCAATCGCTATGACATGCACTGACCACCAGGGGGCAGATGCTCCGATTGGTAGGTTAGCTTGCTGCTGGGGTCAGGCCAATTGGGACTGGGCAAGATGGGCTGGACATGCCCTGGAGCCCTCCCATGGCCCCTTCCAGGCTGGCCAACCTCCTGCATCCCTCCTCAGCCCCGATCGTGCACTGGTGGGGACCCTCAGCCTGGCCTGCGCCCTCTTGTAATCTGGGACCCCTTGGGGGATGTCAGAGAGCCGGTTTCGGCCTGATCCCACAGGCCAGACCAAGGGACCCCACTGGTGCACGAATTTGTGCAATGGGCCTCTAGTCAATAACCTTAAATGTAAATGGATTAAATGCTCTAATCAAAAGACACAGGGTAGCTAAATGAATACAAAAACATGACCCAATTATAAGCTGTCTACAAGGGACCCACCTCAGAACAGAAGATTCACACAGGATAAGAGTGAAGGGATGGAAAAATTTTTTTCATGCAAATGGCAAAAAAAAAACCTGGGGTAGCAATACTCATATAAGACAAAATAACCTTCAAAATGAAGGTCATCATGAGATAACAAAGGTCACTACATAATATTAAGGGGATTGACCTAAAAAGAGGATATAACCGTGGTAAACATATATGCACCCTATATAGGAGCTCCTAAATATATGAAAAAATTCTAGAGGACTTTAAGGTTGTGATCAACAACAATACAGTCATAGTAGGAGATTTTAACACCCTGCTGACTTCACTGGATAGATCTTCCAGACAAAAAAATAACAAGAAAATAGTGATTCTAAAAGACACACTGAACAGATGGTTTAATTAACATTTATAGAATATTTCACCCCAAAGCTCCAGAATATACATTCATCTCAAGTAGATCATTCACAAAGATAGACCACATGTCAAGTCACAAA